AATGATATCTTTAATTCTCTATTTTTGGTGAATATTTTTGTCAATTTTTGGTGAAAAGTGATATTTTCGACTTCTTGTTAAAAACCGCAAGTCCAATTGCTTTGATACTACATATATAGGTACTACATGTGGACCTCTCTCAGATTTGTTTATTTCGTGATGATATCTTCAATTCTCTAATTTTGGTGAATATTTTTGTCATTTTTGGTAAAAAGTGATATTTTCGACTTCTTGTTAAAACCACAATCATTTATAGTGAAAAATGATATTTTTGAATTCTTGTTGAAAACAGCAAGTCCCCCATTGCATTGATACTATGCATATTGTTCATTTTCTAATGATATCTTTTGTTCTTTAATTGAAATGTGCAGTGCTAACAGCGGAGCTATTTCAGCCGAGAGGCTTCTTGTTTCATTTCATGATGATATCTTCAATTATCTAATTTTGATGAATATTTTTGTCATTTTTGGTAAAAAGTGATATTTTCGACTTCTCGTTAAAAAACTACAAGTCCAATTGCTTTGATATTACATATATAGGTACTACATTTGGACCTCTCTCAGATTTGTTCATTTCATGATGATATCTTTAATTTTCTAATTTCGGTGAATATTTTTGTCATTTTTGGTAAAAAATGATATTTTCGACTTCTCAATAAAAACCACAAGTCCAATTGCTTTGATATTACATATATATGTATTACATGTGGTCCACTCTCAAATTTTTTCATTTCATGATGATATCTTCAATTATCTAATTTCGGTGAATATTTTTGTCATTTTTGGTAAAAAATGATATTTTCGACTTCTCGTTAAAAACCACAAGTCCAATTGCTTTGATATTACATATATAGGTACTACATGTGGTCCACTCTCAAATTTTTTCATTTCATGATGATATCTTCAATTATCTAATTTTGATGAATATTTTTGTCATTTTTGGCAAAAAGTGATATTTTCGACTTCTAGTTAAAAAACTACAAGTCCAATTGCTTTGATATTACATATATAGGTACTACATGTGGACCTCTCTCAGATTTGTTCATTTCATGATGATATCTTTAATTTTCTAATTTCGGTGAATATTTTTGTCATTTTTGGTAAAAAATGATATTTTCGACTTCTCGTTAAAAACCACAAGTCCAATTGCTTTGATATTACATATATAGGTACTACATGTGGTCCACTCTCAAATTTTTTCATTTCATGATGATATCTTCAATTATCTAATTTTGGTG